GTGTGTGTGTGTGTGTGGGGTGGAGTGTGTGTGTGTGTGTGTGTGTGTGTGTGTGTGTGTGGGGATGTGGGCGTATGTGTGTGTGTGTGGGTGTGTGGGTGTGGGTGTGCATCTGTGTGTGTGGGTGTGTGTGTTTGTGTGCGTGCAGCACTCTGGTCTCCCATGTTGCCACAAGTGTTCCGAGTTGCACCAGCTATTGTCATCATCATCACCATCATCCATCCATCCATCCATCCATCCATCCATCTGACCAGGGTTGGCGGTGGCGTGCCGGTCGCATGTTGCTGCTGCAACGGCAAGAAGGTCCATGGTGTCGGCTGCACGTGTCCTTCCAGCAGCAACAGCGGCAGTGACCGCGGCGTCCCGTCGCAGCCTGTCCCATTCTTCACGCGCATCCGACGAGCAACAAACGCCCGGTACAGTGTGTGTGTGTGTGAGCGCGCGTATTTGTGTTGGCAGTCTCTCTCTCTCCTTCTTTCTCTCTCCTTCTCCTTCTTTCTCTCTCTCTCTCTCTCTCTCTCTCTCTCTCTCTCTCTCTCTCTCTCTCTCTCTCTCTCTCTCTCTCTCTCTCTCTCTCTCTCTCTCTCTCTCTCCTTCTCTCTCCCCCCTCTCCCTCTCTTCCCCCTTCTGTCTCTCTTTTTCTCGCTTGAACCATATGCAAGGCAACTGTGCTGACTGACCAAGCGTGACGTGCTCAACCCACAGCGGTGATGATGGAGCCGCCAATGACAGAGGAACGCCAGAAGCTGGAGGAGCTTGGCCAGTTTATTGCCAGTGCACTCCCCAAGTACATTCAAGTCGCACAGGTGTGCAGCTGTGTGCATGTGTGCCTCTGTTGTTCACATGTGTGCTTGTGTGCATCTGCTGTTTGCATGCGTATTTCCACAGCCTCACCCACATGCGTGTGCTTGTGTTTCCTCCCGCGTTGTGTTGCTTCTTGCAAGGTGTCTGCATGCGATGAGCTCGAGCTGTTCATTGCGCCGGCCTCTGTCCTTCCCGTGCTGACCTTCCTCAGAGACAACACCTTGTGCCAGTTCAAGGTCCTCGCCGACCAGTGCGGCGTGGACATTCCCAAGCGTGCAAACCGCTTCGAGGTATATGTGTGTGTGTGTGTGTGTTTACGTGTGTCCGTGTGTCTCTTCCAAGCACCAAGCAACTCAGTCCTCCTGTTAACTCACCTCATACTCCTGCACACACACACACACGCACACACACGTCGCTTCTCTGTTGACGTTACCGTGCCTGCAGATTGTGTACAACCTTCTCTCCCTGCGTCACAACCTCCGCGTGCGCGTGCGAACATACACAGACGAGCTGTCCGCAGTCGACAGCGCCTGCTCTGTCTTCAACGCGGCCAACTGGTATGAGCGCGAGGTATGTCAACACTCACGCGAGTGGTCTTGAGAGAACATTTAAGCACGCGTTGTACTGAGAGAATAGTGAAAGAACCGAGGGTTGCAACCACCCTTGACGCACAACAAAGTTGGGCACGCAACTATGCTTGTTTGGCACGAAATCGTCACTGCTGGCTCCTTTGTCTCCTCACCCACTGCACACACTCACTCACTCACATACACATTTGCTGTGGCCAATTGCTGGTGCAGATTTGGGACATGTATGGTGTGTACTTCCTTGGCCACCCAGACCTCCGTCGCATCCTCACAGACTACGGCTTTGAGGGCCACCCCCTCCGCAAGGTGAGCATGCGTGTGTGATGCCACTTTGCTCGCTTTCACTGAGTGCGAATGACGACAACGATGATGGCGCTACCGTCCTGCCTCACGTGTTGTCCCAACCGCTGCCACATATCTGCTTCTGCTCACCACCGTCAGGACTTCCCGCTGAGCGGCTTTGTGGAGGTCCGCTACGACGAGGACGTCAAGCGCGTTGTCTGCGAGCCCGTCGAGCTGGCGCAGGTGCGCTTGTTTTGCTTGTGTTGCTTTGGTTTAGTTTTGGTTGTTCACTGTCACATGTTGGCTGGCTGCCTGGCTCGAATACGGCTGCTGTTGCGGTTGGCGTCTTCTCTCTGTACTCCCCCGTGTCGCACACGATGCGTGCACCTCTGCTCACCAAACACCCCTGCTCACCAAACACGTCCACTGTGTTCCACCTTGCTTCCTTTGCCTTCCTTTTCTTTTTCCTTCTGCCCTTCCTGCCTCGTGCTCTCGATGCGCAGGAGTTCCGCAAGTTTGACTTTGAGAGCCCGTGGGAGCAGCTGCCTTCTGGCGGCACCAAGATGCCGGCTGAGGTCTAACAAACACCACACGCCAGCGATGATGGTGGTGGAGGTGGAGGAGAGGGAGAGCTGAGGAGGTGAGACTGGATGGACTGGCTGTGTGCGCCTAACTGCGCACTGATGTACGATTCGCACAGACGATTAAAGACAATGCACGTACTATCCACCGCGGTGTTTGTTTTTGTTTTCGTTTTTGTGCGGTGGGTTGAAGAGGAAGAAGGAAGTCGTGTTGTGTTGCTGCTTGATGGGAGCGAGGTGCGTGCGTTGTGCGAGGTTGACTTGGTGAGGGGGAACAGGCGCATGACCCACTCACACGCTCGTCAAGGCAAACAGCTGCTTGGATCCCACCATTGAAGAGGAGGCGTAGGTATAGGTGTAGAGGCGAGGATGAGCCAGCACACACGCGCTGCGACTGCGGAAACAGCCGCCAATCGCAAAGCACAACAACATCAACAGGGTGACAACAGCGACGAGGTCGCAGGTGTGTTGCATGCGCGTCTGCGTGTGTGCCTGTGCCTGTGTGTGCCTGTGTGTGCCTGTGCCTGTGTGTGCTTGTGTGTGTGTGTGTGTGCCTCTCTCTCCCCCCCCCTCTCTCTCTGCCTCCTTCAACCTGGAGCCATCCACATCCACGCTGCGCTCGTCCCCTGTTATGCCGTCTCACGGTGATGCAATGCGATCCCAATGTGATGTTGTGTGATGTTGTGTGCAGCCATCACACGCCTGACAAAGACAAGCAGGGCGTCGCGTCACACCCGCAGCGTGTCCTGGACCAACACGTCCCTGCCACCCATGATGTTCGAGGATGCACGAAGTGGCAGCGGCGGCACCGACACAACCTCCCCCAACAACAAGAAGAACGAGAAGAAGGGTCACAGCAAGGTCAAGGGCAAGGGTAAGGGACAAGGCTCATCGCTCAAGGACGCTTCGGCACCACCACCACAGATCCGCGTCACAACCCCAATCCCAGAGGTTGTTGATGACCACACGACGGTGAGTGGCCACGAGGTTGCATTCCAGGCGATGGCGCTCATGGCCCAGCAGCCAGCCAAAGGACACGCTGTACTTGAGTTGGCTTGGTTTGGATTCCAGTCCCTCGCAGCTTGCTTGCGCTATGTGGCACAGCTCACACTCACCACGTGCCTACTGTGTGCATTCGCATGCTTGCGCTTGCTGTCTTTGGGTGCTGGTGGGACGGTCTCAGGACGACGATGCAAAAGCTGTCATAGCGGAGCTGCAGCAGCCTGCTGTGCATCGCAGTCCAGATGATGTGCACATCGCCGCTCGCGAGCGGTAATGCAAGCGGCGGGGAATGGATGAATGAGGCGTACAGAAACGTGTGCTGAAAGCCAACGCCTTCCACAACAACAACAACAACAACCAAAAGCTACTCATCACATCACACCTGCCAACGCTGACTCGTTGCTTTCTTTGCTTGGCTGCCCGCGCCTTGCTTGCTCTGCATGTGTGATGTCATTGCAGGTCCAATTCTGACACATGGCTTCTGGCGCGTGCGCGCCGACAAGCTTCAAAGGACCACAACAAAGTGTGTTTGAGCGAGTGTGTGTGTGTGTGTGTGTGTGTGTTGAGTGCGTGTGTACGTGTGGTTGAACAAAGTTACGCAGTTGTTCTGGACTGGGTCATGCATGAGCTCATGCTTGGGACGATGTGTGGTCGCACAGGCATTGGCATATTGGAGGTTAGAAAAGGAGTACAGACTCGTCAAAGATAAGGTGCGCACATATATCTCTGTGTGTGTCTGTCTGTGTGTCTGTGTGTGTCTGTCTGTGTGTTGTGCGTTCGTACACCTCACTGGCGCTTATGCGGCACTTCTCATTCGCTTCCCCCCCCCCAACGTCTGGCAGCTGGTGGCGAAAGCTGAGGAATGCGACTCTCTCGCGCAATACAAGGAGCAGGTAATAGCACATTTGTGTGTGCGTGTATGTGTGTGTGTGCGTGTATGTGTGTGTGCGCGCGCGCGTGTGTATGTGTGTGTATGTGTGTGTGTGTGCATATGTTGAAATCGCGCGTGCCCTGCTGCTGTTTGCGCATCGCCCCACTTCACGTTACATCACTCCACATTGCATGTGCGCAACCTCGGCAATTCCCCCTCCCCTTTTAACTTCAGCTGACGCGGGAGATGGACGACCTGACAGAATCGCTGTTTGAGGAAGCACACAAGATGGTTCGCACGGCAAAAGAGGAGGCAGTCAGGGCTGAGAAGCGACACATTGAGGCCGCGTCAAAGGTCGAGGTGCGTGAGCGAACAGGTTTGGCTGGGAGCGCACGTGTGTGTGTGTGTGTGTGTGTGTGTGTGTGTGTGTGTGTGTGTGTGTGTGTGTGTGTGTGTGTGTGTGTGTGTGTAAATGAAGACTACCCCCATTTCACAGTTCTGCAAGTGTATGACTTTGTTGCCCCGACGTTGCTAGCATTACACACTCACACCCATCACTCACGACCAACAAACACCAATGTGACCGCCCTTTGACCCCAACATAGATGTTGACTGCTGAGGTGTCTGCGTTGAAGACGATTGTGGAGCATCAGCGCGACCAACTGCAATCAGCACAGCCGAAGCAAGTCAGCAGACCAGGCAGTCGAACACGCACAGCGTCACAAATGCAGCAGCAGCAACAGCAACAACAAGGAAAGGAGGAGGACAGGCAGCTGTCGTCATCACCACCGAGGGGCCGAAGGCAGAGTGAGTCACATGTGCATATGTGTGTATGCGTGCGTGTGCGTGTGTGCGCGCATGTGTGCGTGTGTGCATGTGCATCACACGCCATCACACGCGCCATCGTACACACCCTCTTCACGCCATCGCACACCACCTCACCATATTGCTTCCTCCCACCCTCTCCTTGCTGTTGACGACTGCCAAAGGTGGACGCGGGTTTCGGCGGCATTTCTTCCGGCGCCAAAACAGTACATCCCATCTCAAGACGGCATCAAAGGCAAATGCACCGTCACCAACGCCGTCAGCGCAGTCTGCCGTCACCCTCCCGCCGCCGCTGCTGCAGCCAACACAGGGCGACGCAGGTGGTGGTGGTACCAGCAGCGGTGGTGGTGATGTGAAGAAGAGCAAGCAGCGGTCGCTCAGCACGCAAAGTGAGCAGGGCGACGATTGCGGCGATGGCGGTGACGGCACGCACGTGAGCACACGCACCAGCAGCACAGCCAGTCGCACTGAATTAAGTCGCGCACACAGCACCGCGAGCCAGGACGACGCGGCTGCGACGAGAAGCAGTGGTGGGACTGGCCACAGTGGCGGTCGTGGCGGTGGTGGTGATGATGACGATGATGATGGCGAGATTGTTGACCCGCGGCTGCTGGAGGAGTTCACGGCCTGGTACCAGAGCCCAGACCTCAGGTCGGTGATCTATGATTGTTTGTTTGTTTGTGTGTGTGTGTGGGTAGGTGTGTGTGTGTGTGTGTGTGTTGTGTGTGTGTGTGTGTGTGTGTGTGTGTGTGTGTGTGTGTGTGTGTGTGGGTAGGTGGGTAGGTGGGTAGGTGGGTAGGTGGGTAGGTTGGTAGGTGTGTTGGTGTGTGGGTGTGTGGGTGTGTGGGTGTGTGGGTGCGTGCGTGCGATGTTGTCGTGCTGAGAGCTCACTGCATTGTGCATTACGTCGTGTTCAGCGCATCGTTTATTTCGTCGCTGGAGGAGGGCGAGATGAAGCGGACGCTGGACGTCTGCTCCCCCTCCTCCCCAATCCGCCGCCAGGACATTATTGACGCAATCAAGGTGTGTGTCTGTGTGTCTGTGTGTGTGCATGTGAGTGTATCAAGATGGGCACACATATACACGCACGCACACACACACACACACACACGAAGCGAGACTGTGTTGGTTGTGTTGAGGCTGTTCCTCCGCCAACCACCAGCTCACAAGCCCCATTTACTCTTTTTCCCATGCTTCGACCACCCTCCGCTCCACGCGTGTTGCTCGTGTGATGCATCCGCAGGAGAACTCGCTTGTGATTGAGCGTCTTGGAAATAGCGTTGACGACGGGCGCGCGTGCTCCCTCACCGGCCACAAGCCACCAACACACCGCATCCGGCTTGGACAGAAGGTATGCGTGTGTGTGTGTGTGTGCGTGCGTGTTGTGAATGAGTGTGTGTGTTTGCATTGTTGCAGTTCGCTTGCTGCCCTTGGTGCTGTCGCTTGCGTGTGGTGTTGGTGTGGTACGCACGCATGCTGTGTTTCCTTCATGATGAGAATGACCATCATACACACACACACCATCACACACACACACACCATCACACACACACACGCATTCTCTTATGTTCCATGTGATGGCTGCAGACGGATTGGTTGGACGTGTGCGAAACAGTTCGCGATCGCATTGCGTCCGTCTGTGATTGTTACGTCTATCTTCGATACATCAACTTGGTGTGTGTGTGTGTGTGTGTGTGTGTGTGTGTGTGTGTGTGTGTGTGTGTGTGTGTGTGTGTGTGTGTGTGTGTGTCTGCCTGTTCTGCCTGCCTGCCTCTCTGCGCATGTTTTCTCCGCTCACATGTTTTTTCCAATCACATCGTATCAGGGTCTGGTTAAAGTCAGCGCCAAGAAGGCCTTCCTCAAGCTGGCAACGCACAGGTGTGAGACCCCAGACCATGCTTCAACCTTTCCTGCTGCACTCACACACACACACACACACTCACGCACTCACACACACGCACATACGCACACACTCGCACACACACACTCACACACACACACGCACATACACACCTGTAGGCAACAAATGATGAATGCGCTTCTAGGATTGCGCTTGTATGAAAGCGTGTTGTAATTGCGTGTGTTGGAGTTGACTCCCCAACCCCAACCCCCTCGCTTCCAGTTCGCCAAGTCACCGCATCAAAGCAAACGAACCGTTTCTTGCACTTCTTCCTGACAGTAAACGATCGGTTGCCACGCAACTACACGTGCACACTGTGACATGATGGTTTCGCTTCCTTGCGTGCGTGCCATTGTACTGTACCGTGTCAAGTGTCCAATGCACACATAAATACACAACGGTCTGCACACACATAAATACACAACGGTCTACGCACATTGCACAGACATGCACACCACCACATGTACAGAGTAAAAAGCACACCAGCCCCTTCCCCCACCCCTTCCTCTCCACAACCCAAGTTGCGACTGAACGCGTCACGGGTGTGGGGTGCGGCGGGCCGGAACTGGCAGTGCAAGACGTGGCGACACAATCATGGACGATGTTGCTGATGATGCTGATGGTTGCGGTGACAGCGCAAACACTGCGGCTGTGGATCGCTTGAGCGATGTGGGCGATGTTGCCGATGTTGCCGATGTTGCCGATGTTGGTGATGGCGATCGCAAGGACGACGTCAAGCGCGTGTATCTTGCGTACAGCTGCTGTGCGCGCTTCTGCTCTTCTTCCTCTTGCTTCTTGTTCGCTCTGCGCTGTTGTGTGTTGACGCCCTGTGCGTCGCGTAGCCGCTGTGCCAGCTGCTGCATAGTGTGCTGGTGGATGCGGTCGCGTGGCGAGGTGACAGGCTGCATCTGCTCGACATGTGCGCGCATTGTGCTCTCAACGCGGCTCAGCGCAGCTCGCACGGCGGCAAAGATGAACGCATACTGGCTCTCCGTCTGTGGCGAAGCAAAGCAAGGGAGGAAACAGCAACAAGAAACAAGGTTGTTGGCGAGTGCAATGTGGTGGTTAGTCGCAAGGTGCCGCTCACAAGAGAAGCAAATGGCTTTGCTCGCAAGCACGGCAAGTACTACACCATCGAGCAATCTAGCGACGTTCATCTCATAGCTACATGTGCAGCGATTATACACACGCACACATACACATGCACATGCACACACACACACACACACAAATACACATGCACATGCACATGCACACACACACATACACATGCGCATTCATGCACACACACAAATACACATGCACACACACACACACACTTACACACACACTTACACGCACACCATACGCACCTTAACCATCTTCATGCGATCACGGCGAAGCGTGGCCACCACGTGCGCAACGTTTGTCTCCGCGTCCAACGCCTCAACAGCGCGCGGCACGCACAGCCGTTCCTGTGAGAGCGATTAGCGGGTTAACCAACGGTGCCATTCGCATGTTGCATGTGAGATGAGAAGAGAGGCTGGCAATATGACCACGAAAGTGTGAGCTTCATGTTCTGCACACCAACCAATGGGGTCAGTCACAGACACAGACACAGACACAGACACAGACATACATGCACACCTCGGTGGCGGAGAGGATGTAATCGATGGCGATAAAGGTGCCCGTCCGTCCAACTCCAGCACTGCAATGCACGACAACCGGCCGTGGTGATGTGCACTGTTGGTTGGTGTGATTGCGCAGTGGCGGGCGTTGAGGTGTATGTGAGTGAGTGGTCCGATTTGTGCAAGTGCAACACAGAGACGAGAGAGAGAGAGAGAGAGAGAGACAGGAACATGCGCAATATGCATGCATGCAAGCACACCTGTGGAATTGGCGGGTTAAGTTTCTGCACAAAGGCGCGGAGGCGAATGACATCCATCGCTCCTTCGGGTGCCGTGAAATCAAACCAGCGGCGGAACAACAGCTGATGCACGACGCGCATCTCTCCTGTGATGCACTGATGAACACAACAAAATGTTGGGAGGCGAAAGCAAATGAGGTGTGTGCAAGAGCAAGAGAGTAACGACACCCCCATTGGGCACGCACACACACACACACACACACACACACACACACACACACACACACACACACACACACACACACACACACACAGACACACACACATTTGCATGCACACGTACAAACACGCACACGCATACAAACCACTGCACATACGTTGTGGACTACGAAGTGCCTGTCGACGATGCGGTCGCTCAGACTTGTCTCCGCCTCCAGCTTGACGCTGAGGTGCGACACGACGAGCCAGTGCTCCTCCCCAGGCCAATACCGATCGCACTTCACCCTGGCGCAGCGTGTATCGCGAAGGAATAGGCAAGGTGAAAGTGAGAGGCCCCCGGGGGGGGGGGTGAATGTAAGTTTCCAGAAAAGGGGCATCAGAGTGTAGAATGGTGAGGATTGACGTATTTGAACACCTATGTGTTGCGGGGAGGGCTTTGTAATCAACAACCACCACCATCAGTGCCAGTGCTGCAAACAGCAGACATAGGCCACACGTATGGCATCGAGCATGAAACCATGTGCATCCGAGTGTCAGTGTTACCTGCCGCCCTCAGTGAGGTCTGTGAGCATGACAATGACGGCAACACGTTCATGCCACACCATCACCCTAAAGCGAATCCAGATGCAGGCAAGCAAGCAGGCGAATGTGAGCATGATAGAGGAGACTTGCACCAGTCAGCCAACAACCAAGTTGCACCTTCCCGTGGCTTCTTGCTTGCAAGCAACATGGCAGATGCATGACGATAATCGTGTCAGTGAAACTCTGCAAGCTGCAGGAAACAACCCCACCAGAATCTGTCAAAGGACTGCGGGATCGGTGCTTGCGTTGCAATCCACCGCACGTGCTTGTCGACATCACGGATGCCGCTTGCGTTGATGTATCCATCCTCATCCACGTCCAACACAACACGCCTGCATGGAAGGAAGGGAAGGTATCGTAACAATCAATCGTGAGCAACTGTGCACTTTCCATGCACTCAAGCACACACACACACATACACACACACACACACACGCAGACACACACAGACACACCCCACAACATGATTGAGCACAAGCACGAACGATTGCATACATAAAACTAACACCCACGCACGTGTGATCGAAAGGAAGGACGTCCTCATAGCGGTTGAGATCGGCGAAGCGTTTCCCAGCATCACAGCTCGGCTGTGGGTCTGGCTGCCGTCGCAGCCACTCAAACTGGCCTGTGTGCGATTGTGTGTTTGGCAACAAGTAGGTCCGAGGATGAGGGTAAAACGTTGGTTTCTCAGTGTGCGTTTCGATTAAACTGCGTCAGCACACACACACATGCATGTGCGTGCACATATAAACCCACGCACACACACACACACAAAACACAGCCTACGTTGTGCTGTTGCTTCGTGGTGTTGGATGCGATGAATGGCGCGTTGCAGCTGCTGTATGCGCAGCTCAAGCAACGCACGTGTTCGCGTCACACCAATCTCCCCCAAGCGGTTGATGGTGGCTGCAGGCTGGTGATGACACAGAGGTCAGAAGTCGAGGAAGGATCAGAGGCCAGAGGGGAAGATGGACAACAGAAAAAAATAACTCTTGTGTGTGTGCGTGTGTGTGTGTATGTGTGTGTGTCTGTGTCTGTATCTGTGTCTGTGTGAATGCGCTTGTGTGTGCGTGTATGAAGGACATGACAGCGCTACATGCTTGCAGGCAAACAAAACTTGCACACTCTTGCACGTTCCATACCCGTGCACGCTACTGTGTACCCCACCCAACACACACACACAAACAGCAACTCTGCGCATCTGCAGTCAGCAAGGCACCTGTCACTCGCTCACCAGTAGCGTGGCACAGGGCGAGTGCTCCCACGAATCCAAAGAGTCGGCAGCCGTGGTGTTGCTCGCGCGAGCTGCACTTGGCTGTTGTCTGCCACTGCGCTTGCCATGTGTCGTGCTGTTGTAATCGGTGGTGTGGCCAATGCTGCCTTCGCTGGCGATGTCGCTCTTGCACGGATTTGGCAGCTCAATGCACAGTCCATTTGCAACAATGCGCTTGTAGTCACTGTGGGAAATGCCAACTGCCTTGCCAACTAAAACGTCAGGCCGACTCAATCGTCGCGTCCACGCAGGTCCTTCAAACACTGTCAAAGGAGCACGCAACGGAGAGGAGGGGGCGGGGTCGTATGCATGTCATGGCGCATTTGAGAGGGAATGGGACAGAGACGAGGCAGGTAAGTCTGTGAGTGCCGCGAGTGGTGACATTAGAGTGAAGACATTCACATCACACACGTGGACGTCGTGACTTGTACAGCATCACAGGGCACAACGAACCGTTTGATTTTGGAGCAATGACGAGAAACTGCTTTCGCAGGGCGCTGTGAAACAGAGTGCTGTACCAAAGCAAACCACGTGTTGTTGTTGGCGTGGGAAAACGCGACCCGGACGAACACAGTTAGTGCACATTGGGTGGTGCCGAGAAGCGATCACGCATGCAACAGAGCAGCGAATCACAAAACTATGCACAGAAACAAACCCCCCAAATCACAATACACACACACATGATAGGACGACCAAAGCAACCCCAACACATGCTGAAGGCAGAAGGCTTCACACCACAAAATACCCTGGCAGGTCTGGTGTTGGGCTTGTCACGAGAGGCGCAATTGCCGCTGCCCCTTCAGCTGGCAGGCGTCGCATGATGAGGAGATGAATCTTCGACGGCGCGTCGTCCAAGATGGTGCCGATGGCAGCGTGTGTTGACGCAGCCACAGCGGTGCTGTCAACGGCGAGAATGGCGTCACCGTCCACAACTGGTTCTGCAGCGGCATGACATGCGAGTTGAGTGGCTGTTGGTGTTAGTGGAGTGGCTGTTGGTGTTAGTGGAGTGTACATAGCCCATTGACTTGAGATGTCAGGGTACGCGCTTTGCTCACGAATGAGAATTGAAGCACTGAAGCAATTGCTGGTGCAATTTGTCGCTGAAAGAGGGACTGCTCGCCTTTACATGCGCGGGTGCACCACGTGCTATTTTGGCTCACCTCTGCCTTGGCGGAATGATGGCAGAAGATGGATGGTGGGAAGAGAGGCGGTTTCGATACAGCCACGCACAACAAACGGCCATTGGTGCGTTGGATTGCGAGACACGGTCACATATCTGAAGTTTGGTGTTGGTGTTGATGTTAATGTTGGTGTTGGGGTGGGTGTTGGTGGTCGTGTTTGAATAATTGGTGAGTGTCACTGAATTGAAAGAAGTAGCAGAGCAGAACAAACAAAGCCGCCATGTACAGGTACACATCATCATCATCATCATCATCATCATCATCATCATCATCATCATCATCATCATCATCATCATCATCATCATCATCATCATCATCATCATCATCATCATCATCATCATCATCATCATCATCATCATCATCATCATCATCACATGTACACATACACAGGCACAAATCAACCTGAAGCCGCGAGATTTGAAGAGATGGGCGGTGATGGCTCGCCGTTGCGCTGCAATGGGAACATGCTGTGTGTGATCATGCATGTTGCAGGCGAAGGAGTTGACGTGAGATAAATTCTTGTGTCAACGTTCTTGCAGGAAGCAACGAGTAGAGCATTCGGTAAACGTGCTTGCGAGCTTCTCGCTCACACAAAGCCGCACATCGGTTTCCGCGGGCCTTCCAAGGGCAATCGGGTTCGCCTTGACGCTCGACAGTAGAATGCGCACTTCAGGTGACATGCCAAGCTGGTGGAGAGCACGCAGCAAGCAATTGGTAGTGAGCACGCGCGTGCATGCAAGCATGAGCAATGTGTGGCCGTGAGGTTTGAAGTCGAGGGGCGAGTCGCTGGTGCCGATTGTGTGCACATGCAATGAACTGAATTAGGAGTTGACTTGAACTCACTGTGTGTTGGAGTGAAGCTATGACGGCATCCAAATGCTCCCGTCCCATTGCGGCTTCGATCGACAACAGCAGCTGCGCTCCAAATGCACGTGAGGGTGGTCGAATGCGGGTGGGAGTGAGTGAGTGAGCGTTTGCATGAGTGTGTGTGTGTGTGTGCTGTGCGTGAATGTGTATGCGTGAGTGTGTGTATGTGTGTGTGTGTGTGTGAGCTTATGTTGCGGCAATCAAAGGCGAGAAACGTGGCGGTTTGGTGCACAGACCTGGGCCACCATGATGTGATGTGCTTTCAGTGCCAGCATCAAAGGGGTGTCTCCACTCAGCGTCTGTCACACAGGGAGGAAGAAGGTTCACAGGATATGGTGTGTTGTTGTTGTTGTTGTGTGTGTGTGTGTTGTGATACCACCTCGTAGTTAGGGCACAAAGAGGAGGCAGAGCAGCGCAAGGAATGTTAAAAAAAAAAAAAAAAGGAAGGTAATGTAACTTCGCCGCGGCAAGCGTGGCACGTACCGCAATGGTAATGGCGCCAGCGCTGAGCAGCGTCTCTGTTGTATGCACAAGGCCATTTGACGCTGCAATGTGCAGTGGGGTCTCACCCTTCCAGTAAAGAACACAAGAGCAAAGACCGTGAATCCTTGAATCATGGCGAGGGGAACAAGACACACAAACACACAGAGATACACACAAACAGACACACACACATACAGATACACACGCACACACACACACACATACAGATACACACGCACGCATGCACGCACGCACAAAACACGCGGTACTCACGGCGGCGTTGTGATGGTTGATGTTGGCACCAGCTGCGATGAGAGCACAGGTTGAGGAGAGAGCGTGTGGCTGGGAGCACGTGATGAACAAGGGCGTGTTGCCTTCGTCATCCTCGATGTTCACGTCCACACCGCTCTTCTGAAGGTCGTGATCAAGCCGTGTGGACAAGGCAGGGTGCGGCACGCAGTCAGCGAGCGTGTCACCGGCAGCAGGTAGATTGTGAGGGGGCTTCTATTGGAGAATTAACACACAGACACACACACACAGACACACACACACACACACAGACACAGACACACAGACACACAGACACACAGACACACACAGACACAGACACACAGACACACACGCACAGACACACACACAGACCGACAGACAGACATAAACAAACACCTCACCAGGAGCTCTTCCAAGGGAAGGTTGCGAGAGAGACAGGCTTGTGGTGTGTGCGCGTCCCAAGGGCGGCAACAGGCGATGTGCATGAGCTTTCGTGCAAATGCTTTCTCGCGCATGATGCGCTGCCTCGCCGGCCAGCGCAGCAGCCGCCCTAACCGAGTCGCATCCCCTGCCTCCACGCACTCGTGCAGCTGAGGTCACACAACGAACGAGCGCAAGGGCAAAGGAGCAAGGAAGGCAACATGCGTTGTGAGCTGTGTTGTTGTTGTTGTTGTTGTTGTTGTTGTTGTTGTTGGTGCTGGTTGCTTGCTTGCTTGCTTGCAAGCACCAGCCAACCACAGTCATGGAGACACGGAGGTTGGGGAAGAAGAGAGACCAAGCAGAGAAAAGTGTGCATGCTCCGCCCCTTGGCCCCTGACACGCCAGCAACCAGGAGAGAAGAGAAGGCAAGAGCGCAACGAGGGAGCAAGAGAGCAACGACGGAGCAAGGGAGCAGGCAGCCTTTCCCTGTGTCCAACCTGGCGACGTCTTCGTCGGTTCAGCACGCGGGAGGGCATGATGATGATGATGGTCTGATCACAAAATGAAGCTTGCAGGCTTTGCACTGCTGATGATCGTGCGTGCGTGTGGTTGCGCTTGCGAGCAAGAAGCAATGCTTGTGTGATGCTGTGATGGCTTCCTTCCTTTCCTTGGGCACAGGACACTCAGGAAAACAACTGGAAGGAAGGGATCAATAATTCCTCGGTTTCGAATGACCGTTTTTCGCTTGGTGTGATTGCGTTTTGGCGGCAACAGCGATGATGACACACCGCAGCAGTGATGGTGGTGATGGCAGTGGCAGTGTGCAGATGGGGACAGCGGTGACATGGGCGGCTGGGGTTGAGCCGAGGCTGGACGCCGTGAAGGCAAGCATGAAGAGCGTGTTTGGGTTTGACAGCTTCAGGGGACTGCACCAAGAAAAGGCGGTCAAGTGCCTCGTGCAAGGTGTGTGTGTGTGTGTGTGTGTGTGTGTGCGTATGTGTGTGTGTGAGTGTGTGTGTGCATGAGTGTGTGCACGGATGCGTCAGTGGTGAACTAACATTGCTTCTTGTGGCCATGTCGCACACACCAGATCGAAAGGACGTGTTCCTGTGCCTCCCAACCGGTGTGTGTGTGTGTGTGTGTGTGTGTGTGTGTGTGTGTGTGTGTGTGTGTGTGTGTGTGT